GGAGAGGAGAGGAGAGGAGAGGAGAGGAGAGGAGAGGAAGCAAGCCAGCCAGCCACTAGAAAAACATAGCCCACTACCCTCCAAGGAACTGAGATTCTTCCACACACCGGATCTGAGTTTCCCTGAGCCTGATTGGTACAAGTGAGTCTCGCACCTGGTGCCTCTAGCAAATGTGCAGTGAGTGCCCTTCCTCTTGTGTGGGAGCCGAGCTCCGACAGCTGTCTTCTTGCCACAGAGATGTGACAGGTGAGAGCAGGTCTTTTGGCAGGTCCAGCCCTCATCACTCCAAAGCCAGACACCAGGTGACAGCAGGTGACCCTGGCAGCAGACACACAGGTCTTTGGCTGCCTCCATCCTCAGAGAACCCCAGCACCCTTGCTCCTTCAGACTATGAATGTCAGAAACCAGCTAACTTCCCAAGGAGGCAAGCCAAAATCTGCATTGTCAGACTAACACATTGTGCAGGACTATACTTGCTTTTTTTCTTTTAATTTTGTATACTTGGGGTGAACCCAAGGCCTTGTGCAGGCTGAGCAAGTACTCCATCACTGAGTATGCTCTTGGTCCTTGTTGAAATTTTTCATTTGAAACAGGATCTCATAAGTCACTCATACTATCAGGAATTTGCCCCTGCCTCAACTTCCTAAGTAGCTGGGATCACAGAGAGCACGGCTGTGCCTCTTTCTCAGGTGACAGCTGGAGAGTAAAACACTCCATGCAGGTGACTCCTGCAACTTCTGTGGCTCCAGCAGGCGATGTGAAGGAGGCATCCAACTCCATAAGGTGCCGATCATCCTTATGGAGCGTCTACCAGTTCGCATACTCTCCCACAACACATTAGTGTGGTTGCTTCATGCCTTCTCTAAGACTGAGCATTAAACTTTTTTGTCAATCTTAAGGATTTCACTCAATTACAGATTCCCATTTTTTTTATGAATTCTGTTAAATATCTACCTTCTCAAATGATTTAAAACAGCACTCAGTATCCCTCCAGATGAATTGGGCTTTATCTATGTTGAAGTTGTATTTATTAATCTATAAAAGCTCCATATAGTTTGGTCATTTGTCCGCTATTTGTGTTGTAAATATTGCACTGTTGTTTGGATTTTGACTGGTTTCATAGTACTTTCAGACATATAGAAAGTAATAGCCTTTATGCAGTCAGATTGATCAGTCTTTTCTGTCTTCTTGATTTTGTGTTATACTTAGAAAGGCCCCATCATCAGGTGTCAGGAGACTGACACCCAGCACTCGGGAGGCTGAAGTTGAAAGATTGCCATCATTTTGAGGCCAGGGGCTGGCGAGATGGCTCAGTGGTCTAAAGCACCTACTTGGAACAAGCTTGGCAAAGCACAGGGACCGCGGTTCAATCCCCTAGCACCACATGCCAGCCAGCCCCGCCCACTGGTGGGCTGAGTTGGCCGCACACGCACACACACAGACACACACACACACACACACACACTAAATAAATAAATGTTTAAAAAAAAAAAAAAATTTGAGGCCAGCCTGGGCTACACAGTGAGACCCTGTCTAAAAAAAAATTCCAGACAGCTCAGTGGACTAAAGCACCTGCTTAGGCACAGTACAGCAGCCAAGGTTCAATCCCTGGTGTCCTGTGCCAGCCCCAACCCCAGGACACACTGAAAGGATGATTGAGACTGGGCATGGTGGCGCACACCTGTATTTCCAGCGTTTGGGAGGCTGAAAACAGAAGAATCACGAGTCCAATCTACATAGTGGAACCCTGTAAATCCTGTACTAAATACATTTTTTAAAAAAAGTTCCTTCCCATTACATAACTGTTACAATTATTTGACAGGTAAAGAAATAGTAGGAAAATAGACATAGGGCTTGATGGCCATTTGACCAAGTTTACTAATTGTACTACTCAAATCTGTGCTCTTACCAATTGTTTAGTCTGATTGATCTCTGAATTACCTGGAGCAAAATGTAAGAATCTACCACTATGCTTATCAAATTATCAGTTTCTTAAAAGACTGTCCATTTGTTAACATATTTTATAGTTACATTACTAATACATACATGTTCAAAATTGATGCTTCCTTAAGTATTTGTATGAATTGTTACGAATCTTCACCCTAATTACTGCTTCTGTCCTGAATAGTCCTATTGTCTCAATTATGGACACAGCTGTACCAGCTTTCCTTTAGCCAGCTCTACCTTTTTATATTCAGCTTTTCCTGAAGACCAGTATTTGAAGTATGCCTCTTACTAACAGCTTATGGATAGGTTTTGTCTTTTCCCCCTTAATACAATCTGTCAATCTCAGTTTTTAAAAGTTTTAGGAATTTTAGTTGGCATATGTCTTGGTTACTTTTCTTTTATTGCTGAGACAAAACACCTGGCCCCAAAATTAAGGAAGGAAATGTTTATTTCAGTTTGTGGTTTCAGTCCTTACTTGGCTAGCTCCAAGGCAAGATGGCATATGGCAAATGGCAACAGTTCATGGCAGTGGAAGACAGCAATGTAGGAGTCCCCTCCTGGTTCTCGTCTCGGCCCTAGAAGTCTATACTTACAATCCCAAAAATGCTATTGGAATCCCACCAAGTTAATTCCAATCTACCACTCCCACAGCAACCCACGATGAAAACAAAGACATTAAGACATATATATAATTATAGGGAAGCCAAAGGGCCCTAAGCCCAGACATGAAGATAGCTTTCTGGAACAAAGAGAGTGACCCAGAGCCGCACAGCAGCGGGATGAAGGAGGTTGGGGGGCAGGGTGTTATTCAGCCCAGAAGGAGGAGTGGCTTGAGGAAGGGAATTGTGGGAAGTAGATGATTACTGTGAGCTGGGTTAGGTGGGTGGTCTGCATTTACTTCTATCATGTGCAGAGAGAATAATTTGCATTATGCTAATGAGATAGTATCTAACCTTTCGAGGATCTGGTGCTTCAGCTCTGATGTGTAATCTTTCAAACCCCAGGAAGATATACCCTCTATCTCGAGACAGCATGGAGCACTGGCTCTTTGTCCTGTCTCAACCCAGCTTGTATTGAAGAGCAGCAGGTGTGGGTTATCAGGGAACACACATGCTGTCCTCAAAAATTACCACCAGCACCTCAGCTAGACCAATATACATTGCTTAAGGCCAGTTGAAAGGCTAAAGAGAAGTCCTAGCCAGATCTGTACATATCAATACAAGGAAATATGGTCAGGCTCAGTCAAAATGGAGACAATCGCTCTTCTTTCAAGGCGAGCTGCCCAGGTGGCTCTCCACAAGCAAAAGCAAAAAAGGAGGAACAGCAAGAGCAAGCCTCTTTCCCTTATATTATATGCAGGTGACCCACCCCAGGGTGGGTGTAGCACTCATACCTGTAACCCCAGCATGGTCCAGCATTGGACTACAGATCAATAAAATCTCTAGAAGCCGACCCCATGACTATATGAGGCTTTGAGGGGACACCTAGACACAAACCATAACAACATATAATAAACCATCTGGTCCTCCTGTAAGATTGCATGCTTATACAAAGTGGGGCACAATGAAGCAACTGACTAAAGT